GTCGCCATTCGTGCAGCGATGCTCACACATATCGCTGTCATCCTGATACAACAAACTGAATCAAACTGTCGAATCAAACTGTCAGTCATTGGCTCGAAAAACAGTGAAACATGATAAGACTGACAAGAAAATCTTGTAAACCAACCGGCGTATAATCGGAAATGGAACTAAACTAGTTAGCTGACCCGCAAAACTCGAGCACAGAAAGTAACCACACCGTGATGAATCTTTGAGATTAAGGGGACACATAGATGAGACGAATGAACCCAGCGGACATGCATGGAATGGAGTGAAGATATAGAACAGATCTGGAGTACGAAGTAAGTCAGAGAAGGATGATCACGAACGGCATAGCAGAAATCGAACGCTGTGATGTGGACCCATGAAACTGTTCTCAGTACACCACTGATTGAATGGCTAATGTTCGATCCGGCGTGCCATATCAATCAGGCAAATTCAAATGATTGACATTGGGGTAGAAGTACTGGAAGCAGACGAAATGAAGATAGCAGCGTGCGATTCCATGCGACAAGCATTCAGAGACAAATTCATAAGGTTGGTGTAGAAAATAGTAATATAAGTGGAGCAGCTGAATAAGCAACAATTCTGTAAGAAAAAATAATGAACGGCACGAAGTTATATGTGGGCAAACTAACCTTCGGTCGCACGTTCGTTCAAGATGTCGTGTTATCCAAGAGACGACTTTTTCCAACTGACTCAGTACGCGGGTGCGGAGCTCTTCTGAGCTTAGTTTATGGGCATATCTGGGAAAGAAGAAAGTTAAACAATTGCGAGGCAAAATTGACTGAGACCTATGCTTAATAGCAATTTGTCAGTGTGGGCATGTTTGCGGAATAGAGACAAAGACCGGTTAATCACATTATTACAGAATTGACAAAGTAAGCAGGCGAATTCGACCCGCAATAAAAGGCAAAAGTAGCGGCTGCAAAGATGTCAGAAGCAAAGGAAACGGGAAAACAACGAAAATACCACATGAAATAAATAACAACTACAGATGAGTGCTCCTGAATAGACAACCAGAGTGTGCCAGCACACTTTTCAAGCTGTCCAGTAATAGGATTTCGCTAAGCTCGATAATCAAATCACCTGCCTAGTAAAGTGCAGTACAAGTAGAACACTTTACCCCATGTTGATCAGTTCAATAGATGCATTCTGTCAGATAGATCTACAGGCGATGCAAGTTTTCACACACAAAGAAATTAGGAGAGCTGTGCGATACCTCATCCAGCTAGCATACGAGCCAATTATTAGTGAAATAAGGCGACTTCGAACCCAATGGATATGCATATATTCTTTCCACTTTGAACGATATGGTAATCCACAATTTTAAAAATGTTGATATTGTCCCTAGCAAAATGATGAATGTAATCTCTCACAATGCATTTGAGTAAAAAGCCATATATGAGGTACGAATGTGGAGTTGAGGGAAAAACAAGCGATGTCTGAAGAGATATCTTTCGTTGGTTCACAGTCTACTCCAGACGACCGCAGCTGGAAAATCCTCACTGAAGGGTCCAGCTTTTATCCGGACACAGTGGTCGTTGATGGTCACACATGTATTTTCAATTTAGCTGATTGCAGCAGTAGATCGAATAAAACGTAGGAAATAGCTTCGGGGTTGATGCATGCCGGATTGAGAATGTGGATGGCCTTCTCTATGTGCTGACGATATACATCATAGTATCTGCACAATCTTTTAACGTAAACCACCGCATCTCCGTATCGAGAGCTAACCAATCTGAACGATGTGCTAGGTCGAATTCTAACATGACAACCGAATGCCTGAGATAGCGCAAGTCGGTGCATAGTTGAAGGGTTAGTTGGGTTCTGAGCCGCGCCTAACTTGTTCTCATAGCATAAGAGAAAAGAAATTCCTTGACAACTGTCTTCTGATTAAGTCTTCCACGGGCACAATTTACGAGTTGAAACCGCGCAATCATCCCACCACGCATTCTGACTTCAACAAGTGTTTGAACTACAACACAAGGCTTGCGGATGTGAAGAGAGATCGAATTCATCCGAAAATATTTACGGCGAAAACAGTATCCAAAATCCTATTGGAAGGCCTTGAGGCGGAGTCATATAGGCGCGATATCCAAGCCTCTCAGACGCCATGCGTACAAGCTTCTGGAAGTAATTCAGGCAAAAATACCGGCGTTAGAACAACTCTGTTCACAAGATCACCCATATGTGTTGGAGCTCAATGCTGACGAACGTGAATCGTCCGAAAGCTATGTGCAAGAGGCATGCACCAAGGCCAGAGAAATGAAATATACATCATTGCTTACAAGTTTGAAATCGACCATAACCAATTCCAAATTTTCATTGCATCCAGAACGATAAGTACACAAGCTTCTTAAAGTGTAAATGAACAAACTACAACTTGAGGCTTTTTCGTTAGGACCGAAGTTTCGTTCCTCGAAGCGAGGCAGGTTGAAGTTGCAGTTAGAGACTCAGTTCGAAAAGTTAATGCACTAGTTGAATGATTTGACACCGGCGTCCTCCCACGGCAGTGACACCTTTAAAACCATTCCAGTACACCGTTCTCGACAGCACCTAAGCTACAGACCGTAGTGCACAAAAATAAGTACTAGAAGACTGTTACAGTCTACAGGTGCGGAAGTAATGCTAGAATGCGAATGCAATGATGGATCGTTGCCAAACGTCGCAAAGACAACAGACAACGACTAGCTAGCGGCACGCAAACGTGTATTCTGGTCAGAAGGTGTATAAAGCATCCATTAAGTAACTGAAGCCTAGGCGCTTGTGAGTGGGTGATGGACAGATAGACAGACCCACACAGTTGGTGCTGGTATAACAAGCATTGAATATGGTGACTCATACGCCATAAAGGCATTGTGAATAAGTCAAGGAACTGACTGATTAGGCAAGGAGAGGTACTATGGAATGAATCCTTCCTGTCTAACGCTGCCGATGAGTACAAGGCGTGCGGCAAGCAGTGAAAGTTATACAAAAGCGAGGGAGCACGGAAGCGCCAACAGTTCAAAGAGCAGATTGCAAACGCGGAGAAGACGGCTCCCAAGCGGGTCCCTGCAATTGAAAAACAGCACTTGGGGCCTGCAGGCAAAGTAGAAGTGATAGAGGGCTCTGAAAGACAGCACCCAAACATCCAGCATCGCTCATCGCTTACATATATGAAAATCGCCGCGAATCTGCACCGAATTCAACGTTCAAAGCCTCAGCGAACTCTATAGCGCAAATTGCGGTGTGCAGGATGTACGTAAACTACGTACCAGTCTTGACGACAAGAAGCCTGTCGGTCCTACCTAGCTCCACCCACTGATTCTCAGGATGTTTCCGGTCATCATCGCGCCTCACGTGACTGAGCACTGCAACAGATCGCTATCTGAAGACGTATTATCAGGTAACTGAAAACGCTTGGTGTTAAAGCCGATTCCAGAAAGTTGCAAGTAGAACAAGGTGAACAATTACCCGCCAATTTGTCCGACTATCGTTTTCGCCAAGGTGCACAAGAAGATCGCGAAGAATGGTCTGCTGCAGCTTCTAAGTCGAAAATTAAGGCGACGACAAAACGGAGTTCTATGAAAAGTCTCTCATGCATCACCAACCTGCTGGGGACGCGGTATGAGTGGTTACAACCGCTGAATAAGAAGAAGTTCACATGGATTTCAGTAAAACGGTCAATAAGGCTAACCACCAGGTCCTCCTACAAAGGCTGAGGAACGACGGTGTTGATGGCGCACGACAAAAGTTGATGGCCGACTTCCATTTCTGGCAAAGGTGGAGATTACAAGTGGACGATCATCTAACAGATCGGTATACCTGCACTAGTGGCGCAAAGCCAAAGCAAAGTACTAGATTCCATCCTGTTTCTGATCCACCTCAACCAAGTACCTGACAGTGTGCCTTGTTTGCAGTAAACCAGAGAAGTTATGAGTATCTGAAACCTCAGCGTCAGATCGATCACGTGTCCATGCAGTCTGCGGAGGTCGACCTATTCAAGTCCTTGTTCATGGGCCTGAGGAAGGGTGGTGATGGACATAGGTACAAGCTAGTCAGCCGACTGACGCACCTGACACCTTCCGCAAAGCAGTAAGGCGTACTTTTACGATGCGATCTAAAGTGCGTGGACAACACGAATACGCTGGACGGAAGCGGATTGCGCTTGCATAGGGTCATCAAACGCAGCTTCAGAACTCGGTATGAAGAGGCTGCACTCGCCTCTTCTCGCCCACCACAAGGCCAATGAGCGAATGCGGCTCACTTGTCTATTGTGCGATCACCCGTACTGTGATGAAAAAACAGGAACGTATTTGGCTGGTAAATATCAAGCTCGTCTCCAGTTTACGATGTATGTCATACGAATACTGATGCAGGAGAGAGAGATTCTAAAACTGTTAGGGAGCTGGCTACTTAACCCTCAGTTTCATGAATTATGTTAGTTGCCTATTTCTTTGTTTGCGCAGTTACCTGCTTCTCTGCTACATTTCCGACACGCCGCTTTCCTCAGCCTCATTCGCAATCGCGCACAGCTAATTTCAGCCGTCTCATTCTGTGAACATTCTGATTGGTTTCCTTTGCTCAGCGTTCCTTAGCTTTTTCACGTGGATGTATTATTCAGCCGACACATATTTATTATACCTGTTTTTATTTTCCTGGTGTGTATCATTCTCACTATCAACCGTTCTGGCATTTGTTTAAACGCATCACTTCTCCACACTGATTGGACGCTACTCGTCGTTTTTAATGGTCGCTCACCAGAAGGTTAACCCCAGGGATTAACTCCGCAGACACTATTTTCTTTGCCGCACTTCATTGGCTCGTAATTTTCGCGATTCTCATTTGCTTGTTCCATTTTGTGTTTTCTCCATGCCTGTTGGATCTCATGCGTTCAGTAGCTTGGAATCGCCCTTGTTTGTAAAGCTATATAACTGGTGCCGTGCTGTAATAGAAAATCTGTTCATCCCGGCTCATCTTGGACTTCTTCTTGCGGTCGTGGGGTGAAGGCGTACTGGACGTCACAACATATTCTTCTGGCGACGAGAAGTGGTGAACCATGTCGGTTTCGTTCGAGCAATTGCAGACTTCACTTTAATAGGAACAATTGCAATTTGAGAAATCGCAAAGACAGCTGATCGAATTGCTCACACAGAAATTGAACCTTCAGACAGAACCCCCCGACGACGACGACTGCACGATCATCAGTGGACGCCCTTACTGCATCAATCACAGAATTTGTGTTCGATGGATTGAGTAGTGTAACCTTCGATTCATGGTTTAAGAAGTATGAGGATATTTTTCGAGTGAAGTTTGCTGACCAAGATGATGCCTGGAAAGTTCGATTGTTGTTGAGAAAACTTGGAGCAGTGGAGCATGAACGCTGCACAAATTTCGTGTTGCCGAAAAACGCAAGGGACTTCAGTTTTGATGAGACCGTGAGAACTTTGACGCAGATCTTCAGTGAGCAAGCCTCTTTGTTCAGCATGTGGTACAATTGTTTAAAGTTGGTCAAACGCGATGTTCATGACTTTGTCACTCATGCTGGGATTGTGAACCGCGAACGTGAACGATTCAAACTGGGCACGATGGTTGCTGATCAATTTAAGAGTCTTATTTTTGTGTGCAGTCTCCAGTCCCACGCTGATGCCGATGTTCGCACATGAATTTTACACAAGCTTGAACAGGAACCACAAATGATGTTGCAGGATATCACTACAGAATGCCAGCGGCTGATTAATTTGAAGCACGATACAAAAATGGT